GATGGATAAAAATTTCTTCTGCCACGTCTTCATACCTCTCATCATTGTAGCCTTCAAGCACCTTTGGTCCAAAGTGTGTATCTAATAGGCAGTCTGCAGGGACTACTAGCTCTCTCATGTGTGCTTGAGAGCTTACTTTTTGAACAAGATTTGGGTTTATCACAACTGCTCTGTTTTTCAATTTTTCCTTTTTCAGACATGACTCTGGTCTTGTGTTTTCCTCCATATTTTGTTCGCAACCTGGGCACTTCTTGAATCTGACTGTACTATTATCTGGGTTCAGTATCGTTTCCCAATACTCTATTACAAAAGTTTTGTGCCCCTTTTTTGCATTTACTTTTCCAATCCTTAACTTATTCTTTCTGTTTTTTAGCAATATCCACTCTTTTTTTCTTTTGTCATTGTCTATAATCGAGCATATAATTTTTGGACTTAAAGTGTTTATTGATTTGGTTTTGAAGTTAGATTTGATTGTACAGCTATCTTCATTTTCTAGGACTTTTTTCTTGATTTTTCTAAACCAATCGGGTACTTTGCTAGCAGCTTTGCGTTGTTTACATTGCTTGATTTGTTTCCATGTGAGTAATTTGCTACCTGTTTCATCGCATAGCTGCTCTAGAACAAAAATTCCTGCCTTTTTCTCTTGAATGAAGCTCTTGATCTGTTTTGACTCGAGCAGGTTTACTATCTCAATATCTTCTTCTGTAAGTTTCAGGCTTTTTTCCATCTCCTCTGATCTGAAACTTAAGTTCATTTGTTTCGCTTCTGTCACAATTCTGTAGATTAAGTTTTGCTTAAGCTGTATTTTCCTCAGTCTTGCTAGTTCCAGGCCTAAAATGCATCTTGAACTTTTGCAATCTATTTGTGCTTGCCGAATTCTGATCCATACAGCTTTTCTAAGATCACCTTGGCTATTTATCCATTTTCTGAGCTCTGTTATATGATGTGCTATTTGGTTTTGCCAGATTGTTTTTAGCCCTGCTATGTTTTTGTGTGCTAGTATAGCATTGGCTGATGTAATAGCCAGATCAGATTTGTTTTTAATCAGCTGCATCAGCGGGCTCTGCAACCTGTCGCACTGCTCTCTTACAAGGACACTATGTTGTAGCCTATACTCCAATCTTGGCAGAAGTACTCTGTTGTTGATATAAATTAGTTGTGCTAGTGTTGAACTTTTTCTTGCTAGAGCTTTTATTATTGTATTAATTTCCTTTCTGGCAATAACTAGTGCGTGATGCTGGCTAGATTTTCTGGATAGCCATACTCCCAGAAATCTTGTTGGTTCGTTGGACTTTTTCTTAATCACTTTATCTTTTGTTGGTCCAATTTCTATGTATCTTGACTCTTGCTTCTTTTTCCCCCCTCCAATTATCAAGAGCTCTGATTTTTTGCTATTTATTTCAATATCATTTAATTTATAAAATTCTTGTGCAATCTCAATTGTTTCTTCTAGCTCCTGCTTGCTATTTGCTATGAATGTGGTATCATCTGCATAAGCGATAACTAGAATCCTCAAATTCTGTTGGACTGTTAGGTTCTTTCTGAGATCGCTTGGCCATTGTACTTCTAGCCTATAGCCTCGCTCAGAACTTTCTTGTATTTTAGTAAGTAAAGAGTCATAAAAGATTCGCCACACCAAGGGGATATTACTTCTCCTTGATCTATACCGTCATCTGCTACAAATTTTTCTGTCATACTAATACTTGTTAAAACCTCTATTTCTCTGCTTTTATATAAGCTTAGAATAAAATTGGCTATCATATTGAGAAGTTTAATTCGTTTCATAGCTAACTCTAGCATTTTTAGCCCTACTGAATCGTATGCCTTTTTCATGTCCTGAAACAACATCCATAATTCTTTTTTCTTTTCTTTTGCCTCCTCTATTAGACAGCCTAGTAGGTGTATCGGTGATGCAGTGCCTTCGCCTGGTAGGCCTGCGAAGTTTCTCCTTCTAAGTATTTTCTTTTCTTCTATAACTTTGGTTAGTCTGTTCATTACGATTCTCACGACTGTCTTTCTAAAGAACTCCAGGAGTAAGATCGGTCTAACATTGTTAAGCTTGTAACACCATTCTTCTGTTTTAGGTATTGGGTACAGAATGCCTAGCTTCTACTTCTTTGGTATTGTGCCAGACTTTATATATACTAAAGCGAGATTTATGAAGAACCCTCTCGTGATTTTTCCTGCCTCTTTGATTAAAGGGTATGTGATTTCAGATGTCCCTGGAGCAGACTTAGCTTTGACTTGTGCAAGGGCGCAGTCCCACTCCGCTGCGTTAACGTCATTTAATACTTCTGAATACCATGACTCATCTATATTCTCTTTTGGGGAGTATTGTTTTGCCCACCTTTCTGGCAGCGTATTTGGATCTGTTGTGTTTCTTTCTCGGAACTGTTTTTGGAAATGCTCTTTAACCTTTTCAAGGACTTCCCTTGGCTCATATAGAAGTTCTGCCTCTCCATCAATTTCTTTGGCAATTCGGTCTATTTTAATTTTTCTATATAGTCGATCTAACAGGCTATTGATCATTTTTCGCTGATTTGATACAATAATACTGTGTCTCTCTTCTATGCATTTTCTTATCTCTGCTTCTTCTAGTTTCTTCATTTTAACCCGCCATTCTTTGTGCAAGATTTTGGTCCAGATCTTGAGGTTTTCTATATTCAGTATCCCCGAATCGCCTAGAAGATTTCTGTTATTGTTTTTTTGAGTTTGGTCCAATTGGTTCAGTAACCTTTCTGCATCTTCTATCTGGAAGGTGCCTTTTTTATCTTGCAACAGCCCTTGTTGCAAGCCTTGACTGCTAGTCCGAGTTTGCGTGTTTCTTTATCCTCTTTACTAACTTGCAAGATTTCTGGATTTTTCTTTTTTTTTGGCAGATGTGTATTGGCAGCCATTCTCATACAATTTTCTATTATATCCCATTTCTCATCCAAGCTTTTTGGACCCCATTTTTGCTACTGGTCTTTAAGTTTTTTGTCTAAGAATTCTTTGTATTGCTGCCAATCTTCTTTGGAGGCTTTGTCAATATCTATATTAACTCTTTTTCTGTTCTATCATCTTTGTTTCGCTGGCTGGACTTTTCTCAACTCTAAACCTGTAAGGAGGCTTGCACGTATAAGCTTGTGATCACTTGTTGTGCATATATCCATCTCATCAACTTTACTATTAATGATGTTATTCCTC